GCTCCCACATGAGCAGCACAGAGCTCCAACCTCAGAATGGACTGTTGACGGACGGGAGCAAATCGAGATCAGCGCGGCTAGGAAGGCTACCTGGATTCCCCCCATATGATCTTCCGTCCGAAGGTAGGCTACAGCTCCATATGCCTTCTCAGATGCATCGGAGAAGATGTGGATGCTCTGCTTGCAAAGGGATAGGTCTGTCTCTGGCTGCACATAACAACGTGGCAGGGAGACATCAGGGAGCTGAATCAATTCACTTTCCTATGCATGCCACAGCTTCAGCAGGTCGATTGGCAGATTCGGATCATCCCAGTCTCTCCTTTTCCGCCAGAGATGCTGCACCAGGATTTTGGCCCGAGTGGTGTAAGGAATGAGGAGGCCAAGCGGATCATACTGCTTGGCCAGAACCCGATAGATGTTGCGCATTGTGGGTTCCACCAACTGCTTGGTGTGCCAAATCTGATATCTGAACTCATCAGACTGACAGTGCCATTGCAGGCCCAGAGTCCGCTTTGGTACATCAGTCCCATTGGGGGAAAACCACAGTTCACTGCTCTGTGAGTCTGATCCAGGTGGCATATGACTGATGAGTTCTGGGTAGTTAGAAGCCCACTGTCGTAATTCGAAGCCACTGGTGAGCAGCAACTGCTGGATTTTGTTGACCAGTTGCTGGGCTTTGGGAAATGATGCGAAGCTCTGGAGGAGATTGTCAACATAGAAACATTTCTCTACTGTGTGACGGGTATCTTCGCTGGGGCTGCTGTGATCCAGAACGTGCTGCTGCAGAGCATTGGTGGCACAGCAGGGATGTCGTCCTGAAAGGCAACACCTGCCATTCGTAGACATCTGGTTGCCTCGTGCAATCCATATCTCTCCAGAGGAAACTGAGGAAAGGCTTGTCCTGAGTCAAGAGGTGGACCTGGTGAAACATCCCCTTGATGTCACTGCTCACCGCAATGGGATACTCCCGGAAGCGAAGTAACACACCCAGGAGCATCTAGCCCAGGGTAAATGGCCTGGTAAATGGCCTGCATTTGTATAGCGCTTTTCTAGTCCCTAAGGACCCCAAAGCGCTTCACACTACATTCAGTCATTCACCCATTCACACACACACATTCACACACTGGCGATGGCAAGCTACATTGTAGCCACAGCTGCCCTGGGGCGCACTGACAGAGGCGAGGGTAGGACCAGCTAGGAGATGCTGATTCAGGCTGGTACCATTGTGCACAAAAGAACAGTTGAAGACAATGCGATCCTTGCCATTATGATGAACCATGTGGTGTGGTATGTACCAGGTGTTGCCATCTATATCCATGTCCGCGATGGTCAGTTTACTCACATAGCCTGCATCCACCAGCTTCTGAATTTCCTGGTTATAGGTGGCTGCTCGTACAGGCTTCTTCAGGAGGCGCTTCTCCGTGGCTCACATGTGACCCAGTACAGAGTCCTTAGTGGAATGAAGCAGGACTGGTTCCTCTTTCCACAGCAACGGGGCGGTATATCGGCATATCTTCTCCTCTAGCATCTTGACAGCCATGGTATCTTGTTTTGAACGTGTGGCCACCTTCTCATTCTGGTATGGGAGAACATCCATCTGCCAGAGCTTGGCTACATTACTGAGAAGTTCAGCACTGGGAGTCAGGGTGCTTGTGAATAGACACTGAGGAGTGGAGGCTTGATGTAGAAGAACCTTGGCTGGACCCTGCAGAGTCCAACCCAGCCGTGTCTTGAGTGCAGCTGGTCCTCCCCATGGACCCAGATGTACAGGCTCTATTGGAGTCAGGAGATGTGGGTAGTCAGAGCCAATCAGCAATAATGGTTGAGCTTGGTGGAACGAACGAAGTGGAAGACCTCGCAGGTGGTGGTAGGACCTTTGCAGTGCTGGATGTGAGTGTTTGGCGAGCCCAAGCTCAGTGGCAGTGAATGCTCTTTGGATCCGGAACCGTTTCCGAGGGCTATAGAGAAGGAAACGGAATGTCCTTCCACCGTTCTAATGTTTGTCGGATGGTTCAAAGCGCCAACTCCTCCCTCATTCCCTGAAGGCCCAGCTCTTGGGCAGCACTGTGAAGAAGGATTGTGCACTCTGACCCATCATCAAGGATGGCGTATGTCTCTAGCTTCCTTTTGCCGTTGTAGAGGCACACCCTGACCATTTTCAGTAGCATGCAACTGGTCCCCCAGGTTGGTTCAACGTAGTACGTGATGGGTTGGACCGCTTCCTCCGCCGGTCTGTCAGAGCTAGTGGATCGTGATGCATTAACCTCATGGAGTGTCTCCAAATGCACCTGACTGCATTGCATCTAGCTTTCAGGTAGCATTTTGCCTCTGGATGGTCCCTTCCGCATCTCCAGCACCGCTTGCCTGTCTGAATCCAAGACAACTTCTGCTCTGTATTGAGCTTCTTGAAATTTGTGCATTGATTGAAATTGTGCTGAAGATTATTACAGAAAGGGCAGAATTTCTTTGGCTTCCCCAATTTGGAAACTGGACGTGATGCCTGTTTCGGAGGCTCTGGTCCTTTAGCAGGAGGGTCGTAGCCCAATAAGACAGTTGTGGTTGCCGCTGTAGATCTCTGCTTGGGTCTGGCACCTTCCCACAATCCACATGTGGCTCTCGAGGTTGCTGAGGCTGATGGAAATACACATCATCATCTTGGATGCGGACTTCATATTCAAGCCACTCTGCCAAATCTGCTAAGGTTGGGATGGGTGTCTGAAGAGGATTGATGAACCGCTTAAACTGCGCTCGAAGACTGTGTGGCAGTTTGGACAGCAGTCTGGTAACGTGTGACCCACACTCTAGTTCTGTTCTCCCCTCTTTCCCAAGCTGTTCCAACATTCCCACGAGACCCCTCACTTTGAGGGCGAAAAGACCCCTCACTTTGAGGGCGAAAAGACGGAATGCTCGGCTGTCACCACTCCGTACCAGAGACTCCAACAACACGTCTAAGATCAGCTGCAGGGTAAGTTTGTGAGGTTGACCATACAGCTCTATCAGAGATGACATGGTCTGGCTGTATGGGTAGCGGCTATTGCTGTAGGAATCGGCAATCAGGGGGGCGTCTTCCAACTTGAGGTGATCGACTAGGATCTGGTACTTGAAACGTTCAGTTGCATCATGAGGCAGGATATTGTCAAGTGCCATTCACAAACGAGCGAACTGGCTGGGGTCATCAGAGGTGAAGTATGGAATGTGTGGTGTTGGTCCCCGGTACACGGTCTCTGTACTCGGTAGAGGTTCGTGCTGACCATATTTCCTCCAGTCTTTGGAATCAGTTGGCGGCTAACGAGGCGGGTCCCCAGACATCTCCCGGAAGCTTTCTGGTTGTTGGCGCTGAAAGGTGTATAGCTCTGCATATTCAGGGGTGACCTGCCTCTTCACCCATGCTCCAGGGCCATACTCGTCCTTCACGTTGATTTTCCTGACCTGTTCAGTCACAGGAAGTTGACTGTACTGATAAGGTGACGCACGTCTGAAAAGAGCTGAGGCTGCTGCACTAGCAGGAATTTCTGACACCGGAGGTGGTGGAACAGGGAATGGCTCAGCACTCTGAGGATCAAGTGGAAGTGATGCCTCTAGCCAAAGTAAATCCTGTATGTCATCCTCTGGTATGTGAAAGGAAGGTACAGTGTGTGAGTAGTGCCTGGAGGCATGGTCAGGATGAGGAGACTGAGGCATGGAATCAGTCCACAAGGACTGCCTCTGGTCCTGGGTACTGGGGCCTAATGCAGAAGGTTGGGGAGCCGGCAATGCCTGGAGGGCTGAGGACCGGAGAGAGAGAGCACCAAGCAGTGTCTGAACCTCTCGTCTGAGCTGATTATTATCTTCCTGCATTTCTCTCAGTGCTAATAATACCACGTCTGAGGTGCCATGCTGAGAAGTGCTTTCGGTTCGGTATGCATATGTATCGA